TGTGAGTTATATCTATTGATATTTACTGTATTAGAAATTAAAACTGAGAAATTTAAAAATATTTATTTATTTGGCTTCATGGAACCCCTGAAAGTGTCTCGGGGACCCCCAGGGTTCCCCAGACCACACTTTTGAGAACTGCTGATCTAGTACATCAATCTATTTCCTATACAAATTGGATAATTCTTGTTTACTAGTCTGAAGTTAAAATTACTGGTTATCTTGCATGAGATTATCAGACCAATTAGTTAATCTATAAAAAGGAAAGCAAAACGATGTACTGTCATTATGACTAGTGTTAGACTTTCTTCTTCTACTCTTACCTATTTGACATACAAAGAGTAGAAATAACTACTAAAAACTGTAGTGATGGCAGCCTTAACCTGTAGAGGCACAGGTAATAAGCATAAGAAAAGTTTTATTTCCAATTGCATAGGTGATACAAAATAAAATAAAAAGTATATTTTGTGAATGTATAAATAGGCTGCAGTAAAGGATCCATGAAGAGACAGAAACACTGAATAATAATGTTCTAATAGGTTTTAATTATCCTAATCCCTGTGGCTTGTAAAATATCCACCCTGAGTGCTTGTCAGAACAGAAAGGCACATTATAAATTATAAAGAATAAAATGCACATTTCATAAGCCTTGTGCATATGATTTCAATCTACAAACATGCAAACTTTAATTAAGATTTAAATCTAGTTAAGGTTTGGAAATAAAAGATCCAATAGTTTGTAGACATCTCAGTAACTACCATAACTATAAAACTAATCTACTAAAACTTGGCATTATAATATTTAATGAGACATTGCTTCAAACTGTTATGTAGATAGAATTTTAAAGTATATTATTTAACTGGTAATTGTATTATTTATTTAACTGAATAATTTCAAATCAACAAAGAGTAGATATGAGATAAAATTATATTGCCTTCCAAGTTTCAGTTTCACTGTATATAAATAGCTGTTTCAGCAACAGTGGAGAATTGCAGTATAACAACCTCTACATCTGTCTGAAAGTTGAAAAGATCAGTTCTTTGCCAGTTACTTCCATCCAGAGCCAAGACATTCCAATACTAAATGTACAAAACACACAAAATATATGCATTATAAATACTTCAAATATCTTTGTACATTTTTCTCTCAAAAAGTACAAAAGATGCATAAAAAGGAAAAGGTTTATTATTCTAAGTAATATGAATGAACATGAAATCAGACTACTAATTAAGATGGATTATGTTTTCATATTTCAAAATCTACAGTCTTAAAAGGAGTAAAAGTTTTAGTGTAGGAATGTAGAAAAGCTATTTATATGTACAGCAGGAAGAAAGAATCCTCATTTGGTGTAAGGTGAGGTAAAAATATTCATTCCAAATATTTGCTTTGGCTTGGTACAACAATGATGATAGTTCAATTTAACAAGAGTGAACTTATTCATTTCCCTTATCCTTCTCCATTAAACTACCAGGTAATTGAAAGTTTTGTTCTGCCACATCTAAATGAACTTGTTTTAACATATGATTTATGGAAACAAATCAATGTCATAATGCAGTTTATAAAGCGGGTTTATTTCCTTAAATCAGGAGTGAACACCTTTTCAGCCCCAAGGTTAAACTGCCGTCCCCAATGTGCACTGGGTCCACAAATATACATACATACATATAACTACCCTTATCCCAATGAGCTCAGCTAGCCTTGATAGAAGGGACTTGATAGAAGGGACTCATCACATCATGAAACTTTTTTATTTCAGCACTGCAGGGATGGCAAGGTTAAAGCCTCCTCCCCTATGATCCATGAGGCTGTTATCATTATGATCTTGGGGAAAGTGTTATTTTAAGTGCATCAACATCTTTGGCAGCAGCAAAAGAGATGGAAAGAGGGACCTGGATAACCATAAGTGGAGAAAAATGGCTTTCAGGAGTCACTTGCAGCACATCTCTCCCTACTGCTTCTCTTATTTTGATTGCTACATCATCAACAATAGATTTTATGGACCCCGTATGCAAGCAAGGGGTTAACATGGTACCCCACGAATGCAGTGGCATACTTGACCCCCTCAAGATGGTACCTGCAGGAGCCAGAATTAAAATTAATTTTAAAAAGTTAAAATGACTGAAATCTCTCAAGATTGCCAAATCTGGTAAAAACCAATTATTTTCTTGCTTGAAATCTTGCAAGCTTTGGCAATTTGGTGAATTTCAAACATTATTAAAACATTTTTATGGGGGTCTTTTTTGGTGGGTATCCACCCCACAAACCATCCAGAGCATTCTGTAAACACTGAATGAGAAGCACTGAAGTAGATTATTACAAGCTAGAAAATGTGATCCTTCTAGAAGCTATGACCCACTGATTTCTTACCCATTATAAACAAATGTTCCAAGTATACGCAGATTTATCCTACACCTTACAAACAGGAGATAAAATCTATATATTACTAAAACTCTCACTGTGTTTATCTGTTTGCCTGTTTCTACCCTCAAGTTAGCCCAGACAGTGCATTATACTGCAACAATTTTTGAATCAAGGTACCTAAAATCCGCTAACTTAAAGAATGCATAAAAAAATCCGGGACCCATCACTCCTGTGGAATTGAAATTTCCACAATGTTCACACCAGTTTTATTTGCAAAGTTGTGGCCGTTGCAACATCCCCATAGTCACGTGATTGTGATTTCTGATGCTCCCTGCTAGTTTCCAACAAGCAAAATCAATGGAGAAGCTAGCAGGAAGTCAGAAGTCGCTCCTGCTCCCAATGCTTTTTTGCCTGCCTGTGGTCATTCTATTTATCTGTTTAGGTAAATAAATATTGACTTATTATTGAAGTTTGTTTGTCACTACAATTATTTTTCTGTTTATGATACATACTCTTCTTAGATGATCACAGGACTGTCTGGCATTGGGATAAAAAAAATATGGTCAACCTAAAATTTAATGTTCATTCTGGTCACATCAGACTGTACTACCTTTCTCTCATAGGATGACCCAATGGATCACAGAGTTGTCTAGTTTAATTCTGAAGTTTAAAGTAGATTTATATTTACTTTTCTTAATCACAAAATAATAATTATAATGCAAATGCCCAACAGTACCTTAGAAATTTGTGCACATCTACACAAAGTAATTGTATCCAAGAATGAAAATATTCTGTGAGAAAAGAGAAAAAAAACCTAAGCTATACATTCCAATAGTGCAGTCTATATATTTCTGTAAGATTAAAAACGTAAGCATTATCTTATATGTTAGATAAAATTAAGTCTGAAAAACCTTGATTATAATAAATAAAGCCAGTTATAAGAACTTTGCCCATTTAACATCCATTGGAGGATCTCCCCTACAATCCCATGACTCGTCACCTTACTCAAGAGTCTTTGATGAAGAACTTTATCAAAAGCTTTTGAAAATCCAAATATATAATGTCAACAGGATCATATAGTACATTATAACAAGTATTATTGGTGTTTTGGAGCATGGGATATCCTTGGAAGAATGGGCATCTCAGGAAAGGTTGTGACTTGGAACTCATCTGTTGAACAGTTCTCTGAAAATAGTAGGATGATTTCAGTCTGGATTAACAGTACTCCTCTTACGTATACAGTAGCTTTAGCAGCAGAGTTGCTTCATAAAATGTTGCTCATAAAAAAGCTATTTCCAAATAAGAATGATAGGAAGGCATGCATGGCTACATGTTGTGGCTAGCCACATAAAATAAAGCCACTTCTAAACTATGTGCCAATGGTTATACAATTTTAAGTTATTAATCAGTAAACCATACTATGGTTTACCACATCATGCAAATATGC